GAAGAAAAACCACTTTAGTTTCAGTCCGTGTTCGCCATTAGACACCCTTCAGGTGTTAGCAATATTATGCCACAATTTCATTATCCATTAAAGCCAGGTAATAATAAGTACACAAAGGTATTTGGAGCCTATTGATGTTAATGAAAGAGATCAATCTAATTCAGAATGTGTATGTGGAGAGCTCCTTGGAGATGGAATAGGCCCCAAGGTTAGCCTCTAATTGCCTCCTTGATGGTAGACCCCACCAGTACTCAATTTTGCATGACCGTCTTTATGACATAGTTGGAATTTTGACGCCCAGACTCACGCTTCATACAGAAGCCCATTTGCCTCCCCTCTCGAGCCCCTCCCAACATTCCCAACTCAGAAAGAATGGGAAAGTTGCTGCCTTTGAAGTGAGAGTCTTGGATCTGGACTGGAAGTTGTTGGGCTGGATTGGCAGAAAGTCCATGATCTCTGCATTATTTGAGTGACCTGAAGGATCTCGGGAATTCTAAATCCTCTCTCAGGACCGGCAGATGGCATAATGGTTATGTTGCTGGACTCCCACGTAGTTGACCACAGATTGAGTCCTAGACCCGGTGGCTTCAAACTCATGCTGGGCACTTGTGTATGCGTGCCCAAAATCCAGAGAGGAGAATGGAGGAAAAGGAATTACAGTGTGGCCATCCCCCCAGGGGATGATTTCTTGCTTTCTGTCTCTCTACTTCTGTCTCTCCACCAAGTGCATGAGCCCTGTAGCAAAAATCTCTCTAAAAAATAATTAAATTCTCTTTCTCTCTCTCTTTCTCTTTTTCATGATCTCATAGTGCTCAAAAGGATCGTCTATCAAATTTACGAACTGTATTTAATGGGTATTTTAAATTGCTCTACTGTAATTCCTAATCTAGAAAGTTAGGACCAAAAAAGAAGATGGGGGCCAGGCAGTGGTGCAGCGGTAATGCAACTGGGTCCATATGGAAAGGTCCTGGGTTCAAGTCCTGGTGCTTCCTGAACATGCAGAATGTGTGTGTCGATGATCAGGGCCAGCCGAACCTAGGGAAAGCCTATTGGGAATGTCTCTCTCTCTCTCTCTCACTCTCTCGCTCTCACTGTCTCCCTCAAGGAAGACATAAATAAATAAACTTATAAAAAAAAAAAAAGACAAGAAAAAGAAGATAACTGAGGTATTTTTCTTTCCCAAATGCCTCTTTGCACTTTTCCAGGAGTGCCCTGTGGCTCCCCAGCTCGCCTGAATGAGTACTTCATTTAGTGTGAGCCATCTGTGGGCTCACTTCAGCTCCCACAGCTGGCCACCCTCTTCCATGCAACACGAGTCCCTACATTTTATTCCTGCTTCCTCCCACTTCTGCCCTTAATCTTTTCTCAAAAAACCACTGCCATCTAGAAATCGAAGGTTTGCCCTGCTGTTTCTGGGAACCAGCACCTCCGATAATGTATTGGAGGAATCCTCCCCTCCCACCGCTGCTGGATCGGATCCCAGGCCGCACATGGACGTCCTTGTAGGGAGTCATGCCTGACTCTGGGCGCCCTGTGGAATGTAACTCGATTCCACGGCATCCACGGTGCCCTCTCATAAACAATGCGTGTCCCGGCGCCCGCGGCTACGGTTGCACACTAGCTGGAACTGACGGGGCGTCGAGAGCACTTGACTCGGGGTCATGGCAGCGGTGTACACCAGGCCCAGGCCATGATGGACTTAGAATAGATCATGACCTCTCCTGCCTGCCACACCTGGCCCAGTCCTGCTGGGTCGCCGGGACTGGGACACGGCAGGTGATCAGGTGAAAGGGAGCTGACCCTTTGCTGGCAGGACCCTGGCAGGCCCAATGTTGGCATAGAACTGGCTCTGAATTTCACTTCACTGGCCAAGGGCTGTTGAAGGACACCCAGGTGCCTTCGCTGCAAAATTCAGAGTGGGCTTCCTGATGTCGAGCCTGGGCATGAGCACACAGCAGGGGTGGGAGGCCCGGAGGCTGGGAGTGGACAGCGGCAGTTACTAAATCGGCTTGAAGTTTTGTGGGTTTGTTAAAAAAAATTTAAAACTTATTTATGATAGAGCGTGTCCACATGAGAGAGAGAGAGAAATGGACATCCTCCACAGGGGTCGGCCATGCCATGATCCCCTGCTGGATCTTGGGCATTCCCACGTGTCTGGCAGCTGCGGATCCAGCTTCTCTTGAGCAGCACATTTCTGCTTGAAGCCTTTCTTTCTGTTAAGAGATTTTCTTTTTGCTATAGGGTGCATGTGCTCGCTAGAGAGACAGAGACACAGAAAACGAGAAATCGTCCCCCCCTCCAACCCCGGGCGATGGCCATGCTGCAGTTCTTTCTCCTCCATTCCCCTCTTGGGCATGCATGCACGTGTGCCAGGCCTGAGCTTCAAGCCACCAGATCCAGGACTTGAACTGCAGTAAACTACGTGGGAGTCTGGCAACAAAACCATTGTGTCATCTGCTGGTCTCTCTACTTGAAGTCTTTCTAAAGCTAGAGTCACTCTCGAACCTGGCTCCCTGCCCTTCCGAACGTGCATGGTCTGCGACTCTACTACTTTGTTGCTGAGGGCCGGGTGGGAGCCAGCCCTGTCAGATAATCTACTGTAGCCTCCAGGACAAAAGGACCAAGAAAAAGCTCCAGGAGCTTGCCGTCCAGTCAGTTTCTGCTCCACGTAAACACTGCAAACAGGGAGAAGCTTGGCAGCCAAGAGAGCAAAGGAACGGGACGTGGTTCCTGGGGTCCTGGGGAGCCTCCCCTTCCCTAAACATCCGTGTACTGTCTCTCTTCATCATATTTGAAATGGGAGGGGTGTACAGCAAACCTTCAGCTGCAGTTGGGGTGAAGGTGACATTAACCACAGATAATGGCTGCTCTGTGCAGAGGGGAAGGGCAGGCACGCGTGCACGCAGGTGCGCATTCCCGTCGCCCCGCCCGACCTCTGGCTCCGTTGTCCCCGCTGTCCCTGCTGTCCCCGCCGTGCAGTGTAGGTAATGGTGTGTGCACTGTTCTCCGGAGCGCTTGGCAGGTGACTGCTCCACCTTGCATGCACCGCTCCCCCACATTCCCTTTAATGCTCGCCATTATTCGGGCTGCATTAATAATGTTTGCGGGCCGATATCTTTAAAATTAATGAGGTGTTCACTCTTAGCCAAGAAACTCATCGAAATTAAAAAAGAGAGCTTTTTTTTTTTCTTTCTCTTTCTCTCGCTCTCTCTCACACACAAAGCGGACAAACAGACCAAACAAGCTTCCTAAAAGCCAATCAAGAACCCAGACTGCGCTGGTGGGAAGCTGTGAGCTGTGTTTAGCTTCAGCCAGCGTCTGCTTGAGTCCAGTTCCAACCACAGCTGTGTCTAAGAGGCCCTGACTGAACAAGAGCTTTGCTGGCAAACTGCACAAACACCTGTTAACCAGCGGCCGGGCATCCGTGCCTTCAGAATAGCGAATTGCACCACCATCTCTTAGGTCCCAGTAACCACAGCACTTCAGTCAGGCCCACACTTTCTCTCTTGTTCCAAAGGTTTGATTCTAGGAGAATTCACCTCATGTACAATCCTGTCCTACCTATGGTCTATTTTTCAACTGGGTCCATTACGTGTCACGAAGGACCCCAACCACCACCACCAGTCGACTTGGAGCTGAGAGCAGAGCCCACCGCTTTTCATAGGATGATGGAGTCTCTCCAGGTTCAGGGAAGGGAGGATGGCTGCCTCTGGGGTTCAGAGCGGCAGCTCTCACCGTCCTGTACCCCACTGCTTCCCCCACACCCAATGGACAAATTTCCCTGTGAGCAGCGTAACTGAGGGCATTCCCAAGGAAGCAGTGGAGGAGTATGGCTTCTCATCATGCCCTCTCTGGCCAGGTTTTTCCTCTAATCCAGAAGCCATCCGTAGTCTCTGAGGTCTAGCTCCTTCAGAGAGTCACATGGGTGGTATCATCACTGTATGCATCTGTATCTGGAGTCAGCTGAGAACTTAGTTAAAAACAGGACAACGGGAGCTAGCAGGTGGCATGGTGGTTAAGAGCACTGGACTCCCCTATGGTAGACTGTGATTTGAGTTCCAGACCTGGTGGCTTGTTTTCTCACTTTCTCTCTCACTCTGTTCCTCTCTGGTCAAATGAAAATAAATAATTAAATAAATAAAATAAAATAATTCTTTAGAAAAGAAAAAAGGCAGGACAACAGGGGTCAGTAGGTGGCATGGCCATTACCTCACTAAATTCCCACCTAGCCGGCCACAGCTTGAGTCCCAGACTCAGCAGCTTTAAACTCACACTAGGCACGTGTGTGTGTGACCCAAGATTCCAGGAGGAGAATGGAGGAAAAGGGACGGCAGTGTGGCCATCTCCCCACGGGGTGACTTCTCACTTTCTCACTCTCATGGTCTCTGTCTCTGTCTCTATCTCCCTGGTGAATACCCTAAGGTAAAAATCTCTTAAAAAAAAAAATAGACAGGACAACAGGGGCCAGAAGGTGGCAAGGTGGTTAAGGCTCTGGACTCCCACATGGCCAATCACAGCTCAAACTCTGGACCTGGTAGCTTGCTTTTTCACTTTTTCTCTCTCTCTCTCTCTCATGGCCTATAGAAAAGTTAAAAAAGAATAATTACAATTGTAAATAAAATAAATAAATAATTTTTAAAAGAACAGGACAACAATGTTGATGAAGTTGGCTAACTGGTGGTTGTGTGTGGGTTTGTTGATTTGTTCAAAGTGATCATGTTAGTGTGAGATGTTGGAGGATTAGAGGATGGCTCAGGTCTCTGGCATCTGAACCCCATTATTTTTCTATTCATTTATGGAATCCCCTGCAGCAGAAGTCCGGGCTCTCACTGAACCTCTGGCCTCTGAAATGCCAGAATGCAGGTGGATGTGCAGCCCACCTGAGCCAGCTGTTCCTGGGTGATAAAGAATGAGAAGCTGCAACAGAGCAGATCCTCAGCCCAAGGATAAAGCCGAAGGCTGCAGAGAAGTGGGCAACAGGGACAGGAAGGAGGACCTACATCAAATCGAATCTGTGCGAAATCTCCAGCGCTGTTGTGTAGGATGCTGTAGGTTGAGGACACAGAAAGAAGTTCCCACTCGCTGTCATTCAGAAATGCCTTTTTGTCCTGCTTGATGTCTTCTCTGCTCCTCAGAAAGGCCAGGTCTACATCTTCCACTAGAACCAACAGAAACCATTGACTTCCCCAGAGAGAAAGAGGCGCCAACACGAACCCATTTTTTGAGCTACCAGTAGTAATCCTTCCCCCTCCCCATGATCCTATTGATCTTTTTGTTTTTGTTTTGTTTTGTTTTGTTTTTGAGAGGTTTTCACTATAGGGTGCATTTGCTTGCCAGAAAGACAAAGAGAGACAGAAAGCGAGAAACCACACCCTGGAGGATGGCCACGCTGCAATCCTTTCTCCTCCATTCTCCTCTCGAGATCTTGGGCACGCATGCACGCATGCCCGGTGTGAGTTTAAGCCACCGGATCTGGGATTCTAACCATGGTCGACTACGCAGGAGTCCAGCGACACAGTCATTTTGCCAACTGCTGGTCCCTTATTGATCTTTTTTCAATTAGAAGGTAGAAGTAGGAAGAAAAATCTTTCCAGTCATAAAACAAAGACAACTACCATGAATTTAGGTTTGGAGTCTACTCTTGATAGAATGACGGAGCCTGTCTTGTGAAGATGGAACTTGTCCTGTGACTTCTAGAACAGCCCCAATGGCAGTGGAGGCCTAATATTATATTTGCAAATCAACAGCTTATCGAAGGAGCCAAATGACTAGAAAAAGAGATTCACTTTTATTTATGTATTTATTTCCAAAGGGTGTGTGCACTTGTCAGAGAAAAATAGAGAAAGAAGGAGGGAAAAAGCACCCCCCCATGGGGTATGGTCATACTGCAATCCCTTCTCCTCCGTTTCTCCATTCTATTGTCATTTTGAGCACACCTGCACACATGCCCAGTCAACTTTTCAAGCCATTGGGGGTCAGGATTTTAATTGAGCTCATCCATGTGGGATCCAGCTCTTTTAACCACTAGGCTACAAAGCCAGCTCGAGATCAAATTTGTAGTCAATTAAGTGCAAGAATAAAGTAGACCCGAGGTGGGGCCAGCAGGTAATGTGGTGGGTAAGGGTGCTGGATTCCCACATGGCCGATTGTGGTTCAAGTCCCAAACCTGGAGACTTACTTTCTCGCTTTCCCTTTCTCTCTCTCTCTTTCTCAGTCTCTGTCTCTCTCTGGTCAAATTAAAATAATAATACTAACTATAATAACAAATGGAATTAAATAAATAAATCACTATTTTTTTAAAAAGTAGACCTGAGGGACGGTGTAGTAAAATGTTGTCCATGGGTGACAACCCAACGTAGGTATCTTTTCCAACTAGCAGACTGCGTCTCTCATGATTTACCTGTGTGCAGGATACTGTGGAAGGTTAGGCTGCAATTCTGGATATCAAACGGAAAAGCATACGTCTCTAAATCACATGCAGAAACCACCTGAATGGGCTTAGAGTTCCTAATGGTCCCAGATGAGTTCACATACACATAGGGAAGGTCAGGGGATCTTTCAATGTCCACACTACATGAAACACAAGAGAACTTGTTGTTACAGAGAGGGCTATAATCGTTTCAAAACATAGAACTGACTGTGACGTGACAGAGACCCAGGACTACTAGCCTAGCATAGCAAAGACAGAATCCATTTCCTGGCAGTGATGGGCTTACCAATGACAGCCTCTTAACTCATTTGCTACTGTTACAACGCAGACATAATGAGTAACCTCGAGCATTAGTAATCAAATCTGTATCTAAATGACATCAACTCATGGTACTTTCAACCTGAATAGTCCCGACAATATGCTCTTTTTCCATTGAGAAACAAAAATAGTAACGCTGACTAAAATAAACAGCAACTGGCCTGAACATTCTAAGCAGATTACACAGCACAGAGATATACCAGAGCATGCTTACAACTCATTAATGATGATATCAGGGGCCCAGATGGCACGCAGAGGTAGGGAGATCTCTCTAATTTCATCAAACATACTGGAGTTCCAGGATAAAAACTCATCATCCCAAACCTGTTAGGAATAGCCAGAAAGGAAACTTATCAAAATAAGGCAATGTCAACCTCACCAAAGAACTGATAAGAGATTTGGTTAACAACCCAATTTTCCACTTGTACATGAGAGGAAGGAAGTAGAAGAGATCGATGAAATGGATCAGGCAGAACTGGTAGACTTTGATCCAAATCAGGAAAGATGGTGCCATTACAATGGAGGAGCATATGAGGAGGATAAACATCATCCCCGAGGTGGTGTTCAGTGTCAAGCCTCTTAATGGGGCCAGTAAATAACACCCACTGCTGGCATTTCCCGTGCAGTAGTGAATGAGCGAAGGACTATAATCATAGTATGCGCACTACTTGCTATTGTTCTAATATTCACCTGCAGTTGTGTTTTAAAAGTTAAATGAAAAATAAATGCAAATATAAAAACTAAAAAGTAAAAACAAAAACAAAAAAAAACAAAAAAAACACACACAAAAAATTTTTCAACCCCTGAGTACTGTCTGTTAGGGGAGAAATCTTCCCATCCAAATCTCAATCCTAAAAATGATAGTGCTAACCAGAAACCCTGACCATCCATCCTTGCATGGATACTAGTTAAGTTAGTTTTCAGAAATCTAAGGCACTATAAGCACAAAGAAAATAGCCATTCTTTAGAATAATTGCATTTTGTAGCAGATTCAGATCAGGAGTTCAACAAACATAGAAGGAAATGTAATCACTTACCTCACGGTACCATATGCTTGTCTTTAACTTTTGATTCTGTGTATCCTCCGGAGCAAAAAGAAAACCCATATCAAATCTTAGAATAAATAAAATCAAAGGTCAATAAATCAAAGGTTATTCAACAGTATGAGCATTTAAAGGAAGAGAATCAAATCTATCCTATAAGAATTATTTGAAAAACATTACCTTGGGGCCAGCAGGTGGCATAGTGGTTAAAGGCGCTGGAATTCTACACGGGCGACTGTGGTATGAGTCCCGGACCTGGCAGCTTGCTTCTTCCTTTCCCTTTCTTTCTCTCTCTGTCTCTCTCTGATCAATTTAAAATAATAATAATAATAACAAATTGAATTAAATAAGTACATAATTCTTAGTTTTTTAAAAAAGAAAATTAAAAATAAAATTACCTAGACAATTCCACACCTGGATATTCTCAGTTCCTATTTGGTATGCACACCTGTCGCTGTGAGCTTTATTATATTATCAATGACAGAACGGCACTTTGTACTTGACATATTAAATAATTTGTTAATTTCTTTTCTACTTTAATTTGTTAATCTGCCATTAACTAGACTAAAAAACTGATATGTAGTCTTAGCTAATTCTGGGCTAAGGAGATGAGATCAAGCTTTTATTTATAATCAAGATATTATTCACAATCTTTTAGTGAGTGTTATCTCAACTGCTATTGGCAGCCATTGCTGTTAAGTTATTCTAAGTTTGGATTTATCTGCTTATGGATTTATCTGCTTATAAAACAGACTGAATGAGCTTAATGTAAATGAGATGTATTTTAGATGATATAATAGATATGACTTTGACTTTCCATATCTGCAAAGAGTTGAGGATATCTTCTTTCTTTTTTAGAGATTTTTGCTATAGGGCACGTGTGCTCGCCAGAGAGAGAGAAAGCAAGAAATTATTCCCTGGGTGCATGGCCATGTCACAATTCCTTCTCCTCCATTCTCCTCTTGAGATTTTGGGCGTGCATATACACATCCCAGCATAAGTTGTTTTGTTTTTATAGTTATTTATTTAATTAATTTATTTATTCTATTTGAGAGATACAGAAAGACGGAGGGAGGGAGGGAGAGCGAGAAAGCAAGCCTCCAGGTCCAGGACTCAAGCCACAGTCAGCCATGTGGGAATCCAATGCCATAACCACCATGCCACCTGCTGGTGCCCCAGTGTAAATTTTAAGCCATCAGGCCCGGAACTTGAACTGCGGTCAACCATGTGGGAATCCAGTACCTTAACCACTATACCACCTTCTGGCTCCAATTATATCTTTTTTTTTTTTTTGAGTGGTTTTTATATAGTGTATGTGAACTTACCAGAAAGACAGAGAGGGACAGAGAGAAAGAAAGCAAGAAATCATCCCCTCGGGGGATGGCCATACTGCAATCCCTTCTCTTGCATTCTCCTCTCAGGGGCTTGGGCACACACACGTGCCTGGCGTGAGTTTAAGTCACCAGGTCCAGAACTGCGGTTGGCTACAAGGGAGTTCAGTGACATAGCCATTATGCTAACTGCTGGTCCCTCCAATTATATCTTTAAAAGGTCTTCCCAAAACAGTAATAACACCCCAAAAAACCCAAAAACCCAAAAAACCTCCTTATAATTTTTTATATTGAACCTAGTAGAGAACATTCTAAAACTATGATGCTTTCAGGGATTAAAAGAAGAGGTATATCTCACACCATATAAAAACATTAACTCAGGGCCTGCAGGTGGCGTGGTGGTTAAGGGCAATGGACTCCCACACTGCTGACCACGGTTCAAGTCCCAGACTTGATGGCTTGCTTTCTCACTTTCCCTCTCTCTCTTACTTGTCCCTCTCTGGTCAAATTAAAATAATTAATTAATTGAATGTTATATAAAATAATTCTTTAAAAATTAACTCAAAATGGATCATAAATGAAAGAGCTAAAACTACATAAGTTTTAAAAGAAAGCATAGGAATAAATTTTCATGATTTTGAATTAGATGATGGTTTCTTACATATGACAACAAAAACACATAACAAAAGAAAAATTAAATAGCACTTTGTCAAAATTAAAAACTTTTAAAAAAAGATATCACTGGGCCAGCAGTTGGCATGGTGATTGGGGCACTGAACTCCCACATGGCTGGCCACAGTTCAAGTCCTGGACCTGGTGACTTGCTGCAGCTTACTTTTTCACTTTCCCTTTCTTTCTCTCTCTCTGTCTCTCTCTGGTCAAATTAAATAATAATAATAGTAATAATAAATAAAGTTAAATAAATCATTCTTTTTAAAAGGTATTATCAACTCTTTGCAGATATAGAAAGTCAAATCATATCTATTACATCATCTAAAATACATCTCGTTTGCATTAAGCTCAGTGCTTTGAAAAACACTGACCAGAAGTGAAAATATAGGTGGACCCCATGCACAGTGGTTAAACCTTGCACAGAGAAAGCTGGACTCCCACATGGCCAACCATGGTTCGAGTCCTGGACCTGGTGACTTGCTTTCCCTCTTCCCCCTCTCTGTGTGGGAGAATTGGAGGAAAAGAATTGCAGTGTGACCAGAGCACAATATGGGGTGTTTTCTCTTTCTCTTTCTCCCCTCTCATGTTCTCTTTCTGTCTCTCAAGCAAGTACCATCATGTACCCTCTGGCACGAAAGAAAGATGTAAAGAAAACCCACAGAATGGGAGAAAATATTTGCAAAGCACATATCTGATAAGAGGCTTGTATCCAGAATACATAAAGCACTCCTACAACTCAGCAGCAGAAAACAAACGCCCTTTTAAAAACTGGACTAAGGACTCGAATAGACATTTCTCCAAAGTAGCTATACAAATGGCCAATAAGCACATGAAAAAATGCTCAATATCACTGCTATGGACCAAATTGTGGCCTTCCAAGTTCATTTATTGAAGCCTAATGTCCAATGTGTCCATATTTGAAGGACTTTTAGGAAAAAAAATAAGGCTAAATGAAGTCCTAATGATAGCTTTCTAATCCAACAGGATTGGTGGTTTTATAAGACGAGAAAGAGAGATCTTTCCCTCTCTTGATGCTTTCAGGGATTAAAAGAAGAGGTATATCTCACACCATATAAAAACATTAACTCAGGGCCTGCAGGTGGCGTGGTGGTTAAGGGCAATGGACTCCCACACTGCTGACCACGGTTCAAGTCCCAGACTTGATGGCTTGCTTTCTCACTTTCCCTCTCTCTCTTACTTGTCCCTCTCTGGTCAAATTAAAATAATTAATTAATTGAATGTTATATAAAATAATTCTTTAAAAATTAACTCAAAATGGATCATAAATGAAAGAGCTAAAACTACATAAGTTTTAAAAGAAAGCATAGGAATAAATTTTCATGATTTTGAATTAGATGATGGTTTCTTACATATGACAACAAAAACACATAACAAAAGAAAAATTAAATAGCACTTTGTCAAAATTAAAAACTTTTAAAAAAAGATATCACTGGGCCAGCAGTTGGCATGGTGATTGGGGCACTGAACTCCCACATGGCTGGCCACAGTTCAAGTCCTGGACCTGGTGACTTGCTGCAGCTTACTTTTTCACTTTCCCTTTCTTTCTCTCTCTCTGTCTCTCTCTGGTCAAATTAAATAATAATAATAGTAATAATAAATAAAGTTAAATAAATCATTCTTTTTAAAAGGTATTATCAACTCTTTGCAGATATAGAAAGTCAAATCATATCTATTACATCATCTAAAATACATCTCGTTTGCATTAAGCTCAGTGCTTTGAAAAACACTGACCAGAAGTGAAAATATAGGTGGACCCCATGCACAGTGGTTAAACCTTGCACAGAGAAAGCTGGACCCCACATGGCCAGCCAGAGTTCGAGACCTAGTCCCAGCAGCTTGGAAAACCTAAGAGCCTGATGGAGAATTGGAGGAAAAGAATTGCAGTGTGACCAGATCACAATATGGGGTGTTTTCTCTTTCTCTTTCTCCCCTCTCATGTTCTCTTTCTGTCTCTCAAGCAAGTACCATCATGTACCCTCTGGCACGAAAGAAAGATGTAAAGAAAACCCACAGAATGGGAGAAAATATTTGCAAAGCACATATCTGATAAGAGGCTTGTATCCAGAATACATAAAGCACTCCTACAACTCAGCAGCAGAAAACAAACGCCCTTTTAAAAACTGGACTAAGGACTCGAATAGACATTTCTCCAAAGTAGCTATACAAATGGCCAATAAGCACATGAAAAAATGCTCAATATCACTGCTATGGACCAAATTGTGGCCTTCCAAGTTCATTTATTGAAGCCTAATGTCCAATGTGTCCATATTTGAAGGACTTTTAGGAAAAAAAATAAGGCTAAATGAAGTCCTAATGATAGCTTTCTAATCCAACAGGATTGGTGGTTTTATAAGACGAGAAAGAGAGATCTTTCCCTCTCTTCTTCTCTCTCAATTCCATGTGAGGATGCAATGAGATGATTCTCTGCAAACTAAGAAGAGGACCCTCCAAGAACTAAATCAGCAGAACCTTGATCTTAGAGTTCTTGGTCTCCAGAACTGTGAGAAATAAATTTTTGTTTAAACCACTCAGTCTGTGGTCTTATCATGGTAGCCAGAGCTGACTAATAAAATCATAGTCATTAGGGAAATGCAAATCAAAATCCCAATGAGATATCACTTCACATTACATGGCTCCTCTAAGGGAGAAAAGGCAGAAAATAACAAGTGTTAGCAATTCTGTGGAGAAATTAGAACTTTTTGTGATTGTTAGTAGGAATGCAAAAAGGTGTATAATGCTGTGGAGAGCAGTTGGGCAATTTCCAACAAAATTAAAAATAAAATCACCAGGGCCAGCAAATGAGATAGCAGTTTCCTCACCGGACTCCAACATGGCCAACTGTGGTTCAAATCCTGGACCAGGTGGCTTGAGAATCTTGCTGGGCACATGTGCTTACATGCCCAAGATCCCAGGAGGAGAATAAGGGAAAGGGGGTTGCAGAGTGGCTGTCCCCCCAACCCCCACAGGGGGGCGGGAAAATTTCTCATTTTCCCTCTCACTGTTTCTATCCCTCTC